ACGCACTGGACTTCACAATCCACTGTACTCTGTAACGCACTGGACACCACAATGCACTGTACTCTGTAACGTACTGGACACCGCAATGCACTGTACTCTGTAACGTACTGGACACCGCAATGCACTGTACACTGTAATGCACTGGACACCGCAATGCACTGTACACTAACGCACTGGACATCGCAATGCACTGTACTCTGTAACGTACTGGACACCGCAATGCACTGTACTCTGTAACGCACTGGACACCGCAATGCACTGTACACTGTAACGCACTGGACACCGCAATGCACTGTACACTAATGCTCTGGACACTGCAATGCATTCTACTCTGTAACGCACTGGACACCATAGTGCACTGTACTCTGTAACGCACTGGACACCACAATGCACTGTACACTGTAACGCACTGGACACCGCAATGCACTGTACTCTGTAACGCACTGGACACCGCAATGCACTGTACTCTGTAACGCACTGGACACCGCAATGCACTGGACTCTGTAACGTAGTGGACACCGCAATGCACTGTACACTGTAACACACTGGACACCACAATGCAATGTGCACTAACGCACTGGACATCGCAATGCACTGTACACTAATGTTCTGGACACTGCAATGCATTGTACTCTGTAACGCACTGGACACCATAGTGCACTGTACTCTGTAACGCACTGGACACCACAATGCACTGTACACTGTAACACACTGGACACCATAATGCACTGTACACTGTAACGCACTGGACACCACAATGCACTGTACACTGTAACGCACTGGACACTACAATGTACTGTACACCGCAGTGCACTGTACTCTGTAACGCACTGGACACCACAGTGTACTGTACACTGTAACGCACTGGACAGCGCAATGCACTGTACACTGTAACGCACTGGACACCACAATGCAATGTACACTGTAACGCACTGGACACTACAATGCACTGTACACCGCAGTGCACTGTACTCTGTAATGCACTGGACACCGCAATGCACTGTACGCTGTAACGCACTGGACACCGCAATGCACTGTACTCTGTAACGCACTGGACACTAAAATGCACTGTACACTGTAGTGCACTTGACACCAAAATGCACTGGACACCGCAATGCACTGTACACTAGAACGCACTGTACTCTGATACACTGGACACCGCAATTCACTGTACCTGATGCCTGGTGTGCTCTCCCATTGCTCCTCTGCTGCACCCAGCGCCGGCTGGCGCTGGGTTTTTTTTTTTTCCCCCTGATTTTTTTTTTTTGCCCTGATTTGTTTTTTTTTGCCCTGATTTGTTTTTGTTTTTTTTTTTTTGGCTGGCCTGGCAGACGGGATAATTGGCTTTGCTGGGCCTTATCCAGCCCACAGGATGGTGTTTGGGAACACCTGTGGAAGGGGATAAAAGAAAGAGCGCACATACCTTGCGCATTACCTCAATAAACAATGAATTATTTTATTTAAGAAATATACTCACAAGAGTAGCGATAAAACAGGCATACATTAACCATAATCCACACAGGGTTACAGGTCAATCCAAAGGGGAGATAAAAGCTAACGCATTTCTAAGGTGCTCCTTTCTTCATCAGAGCTGGGTTTGGCAGATAGAAACTTCAGTATGGCAGAGTTCCCATAGCAAGGAGACATTCAGCCACTGAGTGTCAGTATTACAGCAGTTCAGCCTGTTTGACTAAACAGATATACTGAAGGCAATATACAGCACACACTAATTTTGGTAGCATAATTATTAATGTGGAATGTATATTTCTTGCTAAAGAACATTATTTTTTATTAATTTGTTATGGGTAATGTTCCACTTTAAGAGCCCTTTCACATGGCTCTGCTCTGGTCTATTCAGCAGGGGATCTATGAGCAGATCCTCTGCTGAATCTGAGCTGCATGGGATGATTGTCAGTTTTTTTTACATCCATGCCCACATTTACACAGGCATGGACCTGTAATGGCTATATGTGCGGCTGAATGTAAATGGACCTGTGTCCACTCGCATCAGGCTAACTCTGATCCGTCATGTTTACATCTGGAAAAATGGAAAAGGATGCAGTCTATAGCCATTCTGGATGGACTCAGGCATAGGGGGTGTAACCTGACATACGTCAGCTTACATCAGCCTGCCCATAGGCCTACATGGAGCTTCTGATCAGGTCCACCTGAAAAAGGGACAGGCGGACCTGAAAAGAAAGCCCATGTGAAAGGGCTAACTCATAAAACTGACCAACTTATTTAATTAAGGGGGAACAGCTGCTTTATATTAATATATATGTGTAGCATAATGAACAGGAGTATACAAGTAACAGCAGTATTTCCAAATAATGTTTAAAAAAAGGACTTAAATTAGATTCCTTTGCAGCTGTATTCCCTTCGGCCTTTTAAGTGTATGGGTAGAAGAAAAGCTTCCAGAAATAATACTAAGATTTCTTTAAAAAGAGCCAATTTATATACTGGGGTCAGTACAGCTCCTGGAACAAGACATTAAAGTGGGAACTGAACAAGAAAAAATAAACTTAAAAAAGTTCCTGTTGGTAAAGTCACAGCTTGCATAGCTTACTGCATAACCTAGCCCCAGCTAAACAAACACGGATTGTACCATTTTTGTTCTAAAGTCATTGTGTCTTAAGTCTTTCACTAGTTATATTGATATAATTAATTAGATTAAAATCAAAAGGGACTCATCATTCCTGCCACTGCACAAACATGTATATAAACGAGGCTAGGTTGGTGCTGAGTAACAGGACAGGATATAATGACCATGGGTATTATTACCCAACGAACAATGATTGCTCCAACAGGGTATTAAAGCCCATCATGATACCATGGGGGTCAACAGGAAGAAATAAAGAGGAAGATACAGAGAAAGAGAAATGACAAAGAGAACAATATTACAGACAGATAGAAGTAAAGCTCAGCTAAAGTAAAGGACCAGGCAAAAGGAAATTTAAAGGAGATATGAGACTCATTTAGAATTATTTGAGAACTTAGAGGATTTCTTTCATTACAATTGCCACCATTTTGTTAGGAAAAACCTTAAACTGAAAGTCTAAATAGTGTGAGATCAAAATGAGAAGAAAGTGCCAATGAGAACAGAAGAAAACTGTGGCCCTTTGCTTGCTTTTATGTTTCCGCCACGGACACCTACAATGGGGCACTATTTCTCTCACAGATACCAATGATGGGGCACTATTCCTCCCACTGGCACCAACAATGAAGCACTTTTCCTCCCCCTGACACCAACGACGGGGCACTATTCCTCCCTCTGACACCAACGATGGGGCACTATTCCTCCCTCTGACACCAACAATGGGACACTATTCCTCCCACTGACAACAATGATGGGGCACTATTTCTCTCACAGATACCAATGATGGGGCACTATTCCTCCCACTGACACCTACAATGGGGCACTATTTCTTTCACAGATACCAATGATGGGGCACTATTCCTCCCACTGGCACCAATGATGAAGCACTTTTCCTCCCCCTGACACCAACGATGGGGCACTATTCCTCCCTCTGACACCAACAATGGGACACTATTCCTCCCACTGACACCAATGATGGGGCACTATTTCTCTCACAGATACCAATGATGGGGCACTATTATTCCTCCCACTGACACCTACAATGGGGCACTATTTCTTTCACAGATACCAATGATGGGGCACTATTCCTCCCACTGGCACCAATGATGAAGCACTTTTCCTCCCCTGACACCAACGATGGGGCACTATTCCTCCCTCTGACACCAACGATGGGGCACTATTCCTCCCACTGACACCAACAATGGGGCACTATTTCTCCCACTGACACCAACAATAGGGCATTTTATTCCTCCCACTGACACAAACAATGGGACACTATTTCTCCCACTGACACCAAAGATGGGACACTGTTTACTCCCACTGACACCAAAACATTTTCTACAATCCAGCCCTCCCAAAGTTTGAAGGACAGTAAACTGGCACTTTGTTTAGAAAGTTTGGAGACCCTTGTTATATATTATAGGTCCATGAAGTGGTAAGCTACACAGCATTATGACTTGTCAACTTGTGTTTACTTAAAATTAATTAGGTTAACAGAAAATATAAAAACTACAGTCCAATCCAATCAAATCTAATTTCTATACTTTCGTATAACAAAGCTAATCATATTAAATATAATTTAAAAAATCAGTTTTTGTTGGTTTCTAAAGCTCAAAGGTCATTTAATATGCAAATAAGCTGATCTAAACTTACAACTCTCCTGCCTTAAAGTGTATTTCCACTTTTGCAGCCAAATTGGGATAACACCTACTGTATATTTGTTACATATCTCCATTTATAAAGCATAATTTAAAAAAGTATTTTAAAATTGCAGCTTACCTTTTTGGATGCTTTATTCTGGACTCTCCAGCAAGGAAAACATCCTAAGTACTGCTCTCTTTTTTTGAGGAGACTGGGCAACTGTGTTTGCCATAATTAACCCTGTCTGTACTGTATAGGCAGATCTCTATTTTTAATTTTGAACTTAATTTGAACATTCTCTATCCTAACAAAGGGTTAAAGTTTTAGAGGCTAGGTTTCTTGCATTGCATGTTAATGAGGACAGACCTGGGACAGGCTCACCTAACATTTAAAAAAAAAAAACCTTGCAACCAGCCATGACACCTTTTCCTTAAAAACATCTAATCATTTATTTTTCACTTAAGTTTAAATTTTTTTGAAATTACACCAGGGTAACATCTTACTGTTTTAGATACAAGTGCTTGCAAAAGTTACTCATTAAAATTAGTTTTTGTTTCTCTGAAATAGGTTATGATTTTAAATTAACCACAGTTTAGCAGTGCTTGGGGCAGAAGACTATTTAGCAAACTTGTTATCAAATCAGTATGTAGGTTTATAATACAAGTTATATATACGTGGAAACTTTCCTTGTGCAGTCAAAACAAAAGCATTCTAGTTTTAAAGGGATCTCTTACACATGATGTGGAAGCAGTAAATTACATACCCTTTCAGCTGAATAGCTGCATCATCGTCTTCAGTGACCCGGCGCATCATGCCACAGTTTTCCAGAGACAATTTTTCTAGCAGTTGGAAATCAACATCATTGCCAATGCCGATGCTGAATAGGCAAAACTTTTCCCTGATGGCATTCTTGGCATTAATTAAGATATTACTAGACTGGACTTCCCCAAGGGTTGGTCTTCCATCAGTCAAGAATATTATCAGTGACACAGTTTTTTCATGCTTGTCCATATTAACTAAATAATTGTTGAGGAGGCTGGTGGCAGCCTGGATACCTCCATTTATATTTGTACCTGAAAATAACAAATATTTCATTTTATAATCCAATACAGCAGCATACCAGGGTCAACTGTTTTTCTATTGTATCAATGCATTTTATGAGCTCTGAGAATAAAAGCATCATCCTTTATAGTGAAGAAAAAGAGACAATTAAATGTCTTGGACCACTAGTGTCACTTGGTTGCACTCGTAGTACATTCTACATGTTAATAACTGTAACATTCATTACTGTGACACAATTTGATAATTGGTGTCTAGTAGATGCTTAGTTTTTTAAAGCAAACCATACACAGTTGAACAAGATATTCCTATTAATCAATTCTCCGATACACGCTGAACAATATAGATGAAGAAATGTTCACTACTGGCTCTTGTATTCGGTAGCTGTGTCACCCACCAATGCATGAATGCAGAACCGCTGCCAAACAGTGACTGTATCTGATAGGATGCAATCACCCTTCAGCCTCTAATTTTGCACACAGCAGCTCAGTTAATTTTTGGATCGACTTTTGTCTAGCTGGGTGGTGTAGCAGGAATAGCTGAAATTCAAGAAATCTATACCTAGTTTAAGATTCCTTGTGGATTTAGAATAATATAATTTAGAATAATCAATACAGGGTTAAACCTCTTCAGGTCTTGCAGCTGTTTATATCACATGGATGGAATTTTCAAATCTTAAATAGTGTGCCAGGGATGTAACAATAACATTAGCTAAGATACTGTATTAAAGTGAAATGTGTGTTATTTCTTTGGAGACATGACTGTTTTGGTGGTATTGTCCTCAAAGCCTTATTCAATTCTATATTTAAAACAAATGTTATTTTGTAACTCGTAATTTTTGGCATTTTTAGTGTGATGTTAATCATCACACTAAAGTTATATTTCAGGTACAAAGCTTGGTGAAATAATTTATCAAGACATGTTTTACACTTTATGCATTTTATGTTCCACAGATCAAAATGAAATGAAAGAGAAGATGCAAAAAAATGTTAGCATTCAAACAGAAAAAAATCTAGCTAAAGTAAGAAGGGGAAGATGTAAACTAGGCAATCACAGGTTAGTTAAAAATATGTATTTATTTATTGATTAATTGATTGATTTTCACACGTTGCAGGTTTCTGCCACTGAAAATGTACCATAGAGCAGATGACAGGAAAAGCCTGTCACCTGCATGACCTACCACAATTTACAATATTTGTCCATTGCAATGAAACAATCATATCTTAGCTGTCAGTTACATCAGAATATTGAAGACAGAGCCAATGTCAACAGCTCCTCTGCACAAACTGAAGCCACAGCTATTGAACTAACAATGTGGACCTATGGTGGTGTGTGAGGGGAAACATATAGCGTGACAGGGGATTGTAGAATATATCTGATATACTCCAGAGGCTGAATTGATGCCCTACAGTGCATGCTTACTAATCTGCCTAATATTCCTAATATGCCAATTGACTATAATTGGTTAAATAATATACATTATTAGCATTATAAATGGATAACGACTGTCCATCTGGTGCTCCTGTATTGGCTCCTGCTACTGTCAATCACAGCAAGTGAGCCAATGAGGAGAGAGCAGGGGTTGGGACCAAGCCATGCTAGTGTGTGAATGGACACACAGAGTAGAGGCTTGGGAGCGATTCTGCTGGGGTTCCCTATAGCAAGCAGCTTGCTATCGGGGCACTCGGCAGGAGGGAGGGCCAGAAACACTGGCGGAAAACCTAAGAAGAGAGGCTGCTCTGTGCAAAACCACTGTACAGAGCAGGTAAGTATGACATATTTGTTATTTTTTTTCTCCAAATCTGTCTTTAATATCACTTTACTTTTTACTTGTTAAACTCAGATACCTGTTAATAGTTTTTTTTTTTTTATATTAATTAATTGAACAACTGTTTTGAAATGTATATTTTGTTTATTTTGTTGTTGAATATATTTCATAATATACATAGAACAACAGAGTGTTTTGAAATATTTAATTTCTAAAATCCCTCAATACAACAGCCAGGGTGCTATGTTTTATTTTTCTTTCCAATTTATAACAAATTGAGACACAGCTTGTTACCAGGTTGTGAGAAATCAATATAGAGCTTAAGTGGTTTAAAAAGGGGATCATTGTTACAATGAAAATAGTGTATCTCAATCAACTGCAAAATGTTTGCCAACACACTATCATCAAGCACCAGCCAATAGGAAAGCCCTTAACAGCTGTCAATAGGCTCAAATCATCAATATAACACAAGCAATTATCATGCATATTTTGCCTTTTAAGGTTGAATATGCATCTTATAAAACTCATACCATGCTCATTTTATTTTCATTACCTCCTGTAGGTGACAAGCCATATATGAACTTTTTTGCATCTCGAATGTTGTTTGGAGAAACTTTCACAAGTTGGTTTTGTTGCCAAACTTTTATTTTGCTGGAGAACCCAATTATATTGAAATGATCATCTGGTCTCAAGTCCCGAAGAATAGTAAATAAAGCATCTTGTGTCTGCAAAGAATTGATTTGTTGAGCAACATTTCTAGTAATATACATATATATTAAACTATAAAAGGATTAGGCCCCAGCCCTAAGCCATAATAGCTTATCAAAGAAAGGTAATGTAATTTGCATTTAGTATTTTGTTGAAAACAGGAATGTAAGTTAACATATATTTGAAAATACTGGTACATGGGAAAGCTACAGGCTAATTTATGGGTAGAAAATGCAGTTAAACATGAAAAAAATGACAAGCACACCCACAATAATCAATGTTTATTAATGCTTGTATTCATAAAATAGTTTTGTAGTACATTAGAAACATTAGACATCATACACATTGCCCCAGTGAGAAGTCACTGTTCACAGTACATCGGTCATGAATAGTATAATAGATCTGCATATATGAACAGTCAACATAACAAAAGCAGAAGTGCCAAGTGTAATTCATACCAGGCAGAAAAGCTGAGGCCCCCAACACCCCTAACATGCTAGTCTGACATCATCATATAGTAACTTCATGTCATATTAGAATCCCAAATTTTGGGGTCTTAACTTTTCAGCCTGCCTTGTGATGCCAATGACAAGTCACCAAACAAACCAATAAAATTTAATGGAGAAATAATGATGCTACTTTTATCCAATTCATATTTTTTTCACTTAAAATAATGGATTCCAGGTTTAGGTTAGTAAATGAATCTAAAAAATGTCTTTAAAAATTGTCAAATGAATTATGCAAAATAGATCTTGCTGAATTTATTTCACTGCTGTCAAAATATGGTAAAATGTAATGGAAAAATTTAATCAAGCTGATTCATAAATATGCAAACATTTCCACCAACATAAATGGAAACCTTTTATGCATCATTTTACAAATAGATTAGGTGATGTTTTTCATTTCCATGATGATTTGCTACTATCCCTTACTAAACTCCTACTTAAAAATATTGTTTAGGTTAGGTGTTCTCTGCAGAGCGTGAATTTGTATATTACCCCCTAATAATTCTAATTGGTCTGAGCAGGAAATTGCCTCTGTGTTTTGAGAAACGTTTGATCGCTTTACCAATACTGTTTACCTATAATGTTAGGCTCAGTTCACACTATTGCAGTTTTGCGTGCTGCTGTAAGGGATTTCAGACGAATCGCTATCGGAAATGCGCATAGGAATTCCCGCAGGAGAATTGCCGGTTGCACACGCATGCACACGTGCACACGCACGGGCGAAGATTGGCACCAGACGGCCTATTTATGGAGTGTCTCTGCTCATGTTGAGTGCTGACTGGTCTTCAGCTCCCCCGTGTCCTGCTTGTTCCTGTGTGATTCCTTTGTTGCTGACCCAGCTTGTTCCTCACTCACCTGACTCTGATTGTTCTCCTGATTGATACTGGTTCCTGACTTCGGCTCTGCTCCTACCTTGGTTTTTTCCTTCTGATTCTGTACCGTGCTGCCCGACTGTTGATGACCCTGGCTATTCCATGACACGATACAGGACATACTCATTATTGAATCCAATTTTGTTAAAAGTGTTAGTATTTCATATTTCAAATTGCATATGCTCATACTTGGGAACTTGCTGGCATGTATCTGAAGATTCTGGCTTTTTGGCTAGGGTCAATTCTGTCTGTAATTCGTTTTCTGGCTTCTTGCGTATTGATATGAGTGACTGCAGCTTCAATCCTGTCAAACAGAGCATTGCCCAGTATAGCTGCTGAGAGCAGCCTACTGTGAGTGGAAGAGAGCAGTGAGAGGGGGCGCCTGCTTAGAACACAGGCATCTTTCTCAGCATGGGTGCCCACTGGGGAGTGAGGGTGGACTGTCCTTTTTCCCCTAGTCATGTGACAAATTACATGACTAGAGATAAAAATGAAGCTGTTTTCCCTCCTGGGATAGCACTTGGGATAGCACTTGAGCTCAGAATAAGTCTGAACTGTGAAACACAACCCTGGAACCTCTGTAAAAGCATCTAAGAGACTCTTAGCCATCCTAAAAAACCTCCCTCAGAGTCCTTTGGCCACCCTCCCTCTCATAGAGCCACACAGGACCTCTTAGTTAAATGGACCCCACAGAGTCCCACAGCCTTCCAGTTCTCCTTCTTTTCATCCCACCAACACAGCAACATTTTTTCCTCCCACTGATATCAACACAGCTAAATTTTTTCCTCCTACTGATACCAATGTAGGGACATTTTTATTTAATCACACATATGATGGAGGCACTTCTTCTTTTGCCAGTGTTAGCCCTGTATTTTACAGCACGACAGTATGTGCACCACTATGAAACTTATAGTTTCTCCTCTGCACCACAACCATTGGCACTATGCTGCAACCATTACATAAGTCTTGGTGCAGCACCCCCCTGCTCCGCCCTTTGTCTACCCCATTCTCAGACCCACTGATTTAAAAAAAAGTTTCCAGGTTATATATGTAGCACGTTTTTACATTTTCAGGTTAGTGCTTTTTTGTTGTAAAACATAGCTGAAAAGTAGTATAAAGTAATTTTATGTCATACTAGAGTAATATCTAAATATAAGCTGGACAACCTTAGTCCCAGGTTCCAAGACCATAATATTTGTTCTTGCATTTTCAGTCTAGCAAGTGTCAGAAATCCAAGCACAACACTTATGGTTGTTGGCTATGGTAATTCTACACAACTGGCATGCTCTGACTTTTTTCTTTGCCTGCTCAGCTGCTTTCTTTTTCTCTTTACCCAGCTGCTTTATTTTCCTTCTGGTATGGTAGATTATGTTCTCTCTTTCTTCTCCATGGTCGATTCTAATTTAATTTCTTATGGGCAGTGATGCTTATTTTCCAGCTGTGTTAATCACACACTCCAAACCATTCTACCACCTTGTGTTTTTCTGGCTGACTGCTGTCCAGTACCACTAATGATACTATTGTTTTCAGCAGAATGTACACTAAAGAAAGATTGCTAAGAACCACACAGAGGATGATCAAGAACCACACTTTGAGAGCCAATGGTCCTGAGAAAATATGCTAGAATTGCATTTCAACATTTATTAACATCCCTCCAGATCAATTATATTTAGCTCAAGACTGCAAATAACTAGTCAACTGACTACTACAAATTACTGATTACTTTTATGTATAATAATGATATATTCTCATTAAACTTTTTCCATGTATATATTGGTGCATATTACAAAAATACAGCAATTTTGTATTGCGTTGTACATGGATATAGTGGGTTATACCTAGTGCAATGAAACAGAATGACTTACTAAAGCTGCCAGTAGGCATACAATGAATATCAACGAATCTGGCCAAATTCAGTTGGCCTGGGAAATGTTTGGATAACTATGGGCATGCTCACACACGTACAATAGCTGTTATAAATGCCCATGTTTATACACTGCTGACTGCACAAAAATTGTTACTTGGACCTTCTGACCACCTTTATATGATCAGGGGCACCTTCAAATAAACAGGAAAGAAAAATAAAGGCTGACATTTTTTTATTTTTCCTTTTTATTAATGCTAGTTGCCTCACTGTCATGTTCACCAACATCTTTAAATTCTTTGAATGATGGATCCACAACAAACTTGCATATAAGGTCTTTTTTCCAACTTTCTTCATCTGTATACCGACTTCTGGTCAATCACTGTGAAAGTCAGTGGGCATAATAGCCAGTTAACTAGTATCTTCAGGAGGAAGTCAGCATTGAAAACCCCCTTATTTCACTTAAGAAATGTTTACTTTAATCCTTTACATCAGTCTGATGAGCAAATGGGTAGATCCAAAATGGCTAAGCCAAAATTTAGATTTTTGGGTTGCATGTGGCATTCTCATGTCTTTTTCAGTCTTTGTGGTATAAAAACGTGCGTAAATGAGCCCTCAAAATGTTTCAACTGATAACAGTTATACTGCCTTACATAATACTGCAACCAAACACTTTTGGAAATGTTAAAAAGTCCCTTTCTGGCATAAAACGTAAGTTGGAGATGGAGTACAAATGTTCCATATTATTTTTTTGTTAATGGTATTACATTTTTACGCCCCCCTAAAAAATGATTCCACTGCATTGGACCCACTGTTTTAAATTTGACTTGACTGATCTAAAACAATAGGGCTATCCTTCTGATTCACTACAAGTAAAGTGATTTTTTTTTTTTTGCCATGTGTTTCCTATTTCAGAGATTTCCCTACACTTCCTGTCCTGTAAACACAACAGAAAGTAACACTCCAGAGTGAGATAAAATCCCCTCTATTTCTGTTCTGGTGACAACTCAAAATTCTGGATTTTCTCTTTCAGTGGTGGTTACCAGGACATTATAAAGAGGGTAAATTGAATCATCCCGGTGACAGCAATAAAAATCTGATAGTGGTTTTAACCCTTCACCACTCTGAAAAAAAATTACCCCTACACCAAAAAGTAAAAAGAAAAAGGTCCTGGTTTTACTAAAACTCCATAATTTTATGTGACCATTCAACTTTTCTTATCTATACATTTATAATGATTTTGCCAAATTTACCAGCTGGAGGTTAGTCTGTCTCCAGCTGTTAAATTTGGCAAAATCAGTGACCTTTGTCATATAAATGAGAGGCTGTTGTCATTAATGAACAGTGAATACAAACATTACATCAGTATTACGGGAACAGTCTATCAGCAGCCAGACAACGACAATTTAGAACATACCAAACATTTCTAAATGAGTATGTCATATTATATCAGCTCAAATCTGAACTGCTCGATCCTAAATCTTGCCTTTTTCATTTTTACATATGTTGACTACATGTTGATTACTTTTAGCATAAAATATTTACCAACATTTTATGATGTAATTTAGTTAACATAATAAAAAATGTAAATACTTTAAAGGATATGTTCACCTTTTATCAAAAAATATTAAATGTACATTTTTTTTGCAGGTAAAAAATGTGCATTTACTTTTTATTGTTTTTAGAGCCCGTAAAGCATTGTGCCAGTGATCAGCAGATCGTCTCCTGCAGAATGTCAGTGTAATCCTTCTGATCGTACCTTGTACGGGCAGGCA